GCTATTGAGCAATGCGAAAACTGCTGATAATACTGAGGGACCTTATATATGAATGCTTAGATAGGTGTCGTAGTCCCATAGGTAGATGGGGATCAGCTGAAGGTCAGCTGATGCGAGCTTGACTAACATGACCTGCCAGAACTAACGCTACGCTTGACTTCTTTTTCTCCTTGTAGCTGGAAATCAACTCACAGACAATTTGCGGGCTATATATATTTATTTTTTAATAATTACAGTCTTGCTCGCGAGAACTCCGGTCTGACACACGCAGGTTCTCATGTTATTTCCTTATCACTTCTCGCGTGTGTTTTGTTGTGAAACGTAGTTTGCGGACCAGACAGAGTTGTCGGCGATTCTTCCTATTGTGGAGTCATGCAGTGTGAAATCCCATGTCGCCGATCCATCGTGCAATGTGAACACAGCAGCAACTGAATGCTACCCCAGATAGTCACGCAGTGTGAAAACAACGGCGATCAAAAATGACCAAAAAACATACAGAAACAACTGTTCAGTCTTACCTGTGAAAGATAATACCCTGAGGTCTGTTTTTATTATTGTGCGACGGTTTGTAGATGCCCAAGCTGCCGACGAGTCAGGTATGTTATGATTTTCTTTAGCTCAGCTGCACGTGGATTGCGAGCTGTGTGTGTGTGGATTGGGCAAGGCTGAAAGGGCGGAACGAAAGTCTCAAAATTCAAATGAATCAAATAGAATCGACTCAGAAGAGATGTGAATGAATGCACGCATTTCACCTGATCCACAAATGCACATTTTAATTGCTACATGCCCAAATCATGATACTTTAAAAAAAACTATAACATTTGTATTCACAAATATGTCTCTATTTGAACAAAATGCTGCACATTAATGTAATTCTTAACTCTGCAGACACCGGTTGAAAAGCATTTGTTTCAGTGAAGTGACGCACATTTGCAAATTTTTCAAATCGTGTACACATTAATGAATTGCACTGGGCCTTGTTCGTTGGTAGTTGTATGTGTGGGGGACGTGAAATGCTGTAAACTGCGAAAATGAAGTCTCAAATTCCAAATGAACCGAACAAGATCGACTCGAACTAGACGTCAATTAATGCACGTGTGTCACCTGATCCACATATGCACGGATTATTTTTTGCATGAGCAATTTATGATATATTAATGCAGAACAGAACCTTTTTATTCACAAACATGTCTGTATTTGTACAAATTGCTGCACAATGGTTACCGGGGACACCGCATTATTTCGGCGCTCCTAAAGAGAATTAATTTGCATTTCCAATAAGCCTTTCTTGCTGTTTATGGTCAGATCAATGCAAATATCAACTCATATTTTTACGCAGCAAACACATAGAGTTGTAAATGAGAAAGGAGTTAATGTGCCTTCTAAAAATCTAAACAATTAAGACAGTAATATTTATACAATTTAAATTGACAATTTATATGCTTGATTTATCCCTTTTCATAAAAATGGTCTAAAGGTTGAAATGCTGTTGTATAAGAATTTTGTTTTTGTGAAAACCTGTATCTGAACTGTAAATCATGTAATTTTATGGCTCAGTACTATATGTTACCATAGACATTGTCCAACCTCACTCATACTGTGTTCATTTTACTTGTGCAGCTCTTAAAATGGGTCATAAATTGCCTTAAATGTATTTTTTTTAAGTCTGCAGAGACCCTGTAAATAGTGAAATAAAATTCCTTCCTTCATATTTGTGTATTGAAAATATTTTTTGATTGACATTTAAACTCCTATCTAATTTTCTATATTTAAAAAAAAAAAGTATTCTTTGACCTCCCCCTCATCGCATGTGAAAACTATGAAAAGCACTGAGCACGTCTTTCTCTGCCTCAGTGCCAGCCAAAGTGTGACGTGTCAAAGGATTAAAATCGATCTGTTTTTGGGGTGGAGGGTGGACAAATTGAACATGGGGTGGGAGAGGGGGCCTGGCTGAATATTTAATTACCATAGCCTAGGTAGGGTATCTTCTAGTTTTAGGGAAGTTCATGTTTGATTAAACATCCGTAAATAACCTTGACATCTAAGTATATTATAATATTTTACTTAGCTTGTTTTTGATTCAAGTTTTTGTCGTCTGTGTAAAAATTATTTCCATGGGTAGGCCTATATATTTTTGTAATAAAAATAAGCTTCTGTTTCATAAACTTGGTGCTGATAACAGCTTAACATTATTCAGCCTGCCTTTGGGGTCTTTGCATATATTCCAATATCATTATGCCTCAATTAGCTAGTTATAGATTAAGAGTTGTTGTTTTAGATGTGTGTTTAAGAATTTATGTTGTTAAACTAACATTCTGTTCCGTAAATGCATTGTCTGCTGGATTATTTAGCTACTTTTCAGTACACCACATTAAGTATACCACTTAGTACTGTAAGACTCTAAATGTTAAGCTGCAAATTAACATCTGACCACTCTTGTGGGTTTACTACTGTTACAATTAAAAATCTTAGAAGGGTAAAAACATGCCAGGCAGACACTGGTATGATGTAAGCAACACAGCAACAACAAATAATGGGTGTGTTAGATTTATAGTGTGCGAATAATCAAGCATTGACAATAATCAGTCATATTGGCGGCACTGAGGGGTCCCATGTAAAATTCTGCTCAGGGCCCCATAAAGGTTTGGGACAGCCCTATGCTAGTCTAGGCTAATAGAGTTCTTTCTTCTTTGATGTTTTTAGCTTTTTTTTTCAATCAGATTTTTTACTCTTTCCCTGGAATTACTCTTAAACTGTCTTGAACTCAGTATGATTAACGAGTCAATGTACTGCAGTCTTACACTGTACATATACACCATACATGTCAAATGAGGCAGTGTCAATAGAAACTCAAGGCAGTACAACCAGTGTTGGTTTATCTAATCAATGTTTTATATTTGTTCCCTCCCTTTGCCAACAATGTTGCCCGGTTTCATAAGGGCATTTTCTGAAGAGCAGTTGTTTCTTAGACTGGCTATACACATGCGTTTGCGGTGTCACAAAAAGGTGCAGCCTTTAGATTACTTTAGATCACTTTACATGCACATCAAAAACCTGATGTTTGCCTTTTGCTCTACTGAGGGAAGTTGTAAGAAAAAGAACATTTATCAAATTTGACAATATGGATGTATACTGATACATGCATCCATTTGAGCTTGCAAATTGAATTGCAAATGCATATTTATAATAGTTGTATGTTTATAATATGTCATTTATTTTACTGTATAATTTCCTTATATTTCCCCACACCTTGATTAAAATATTATATTTGAATAAAATATACTGAAAGTAGAATTTATAAAAGGGTGTGTTGTATTACATTATCATTTGTATTTTGGATTATTTCCTTCTTAATGAAACTTCATGTCATGATTTTTCATATTTTAAAGGCGTGACAACAATGCCAGTTAAGATCCCGAAAACAAATTAAAAAGGTAAATATCAATGTTTTTATTTTGTAAATAAAAATTCTAAGTAATTCTAATATGATTTGATATAATTTTATATTAATTTGAAATGCTTATTTCCTTATGTACATTTAGGATACATAAATGAGACATTCTGCTACAAATGCTTAATAAATAAGCTTTCAATAATACATTTTTAATTTGTATTTTATTTTATTTGTTTATTTTTTTAAAGGTTTTAATTGATATTTTTTATTAGCATCATGTTTATCTAAATCATGTCTGTATGAATGTAATTATTTTTACTGCAACTAAATAACAATCAGAAATGTCTTATATTGTTACCGTTTGGTGTCCCCTCAGTAAGACTCCTTTTTAATTTTAATTTAATTTTAGTTTGTTTTATTTTATTTTATTCTATTTTATTCTGCTATAAATACTGTAAAACTTTTTGATGACTAATGTTTCATTTTCGGCTGAACTAATTATTTCTCGAAAGGTCCACAAGGTCAACCATACTTGAAAAAATAGCTGAAGAAATACCCATAAATGGTTATGCAAGACATCACATTTCTTACAAGTCTAAAATCTTGATCAAGAAAAGGATCAGGATATGAGCGCTGCCAAATGAGGAATGGTCAGTTTGTTTTAATTCGTGAAAGCAGAGGTGATTCAGAAACTTGAGACACACCTGTGTACCTGCAAAGATGCTGAACGTCAGATTATCTGCATCACAGACAGGATGTTCAAACCTCACACGCAATCATATATGTGATCACTCAACATTTACTGGCATTTTGCTGCAAGCTTGATGGAAAATGTGATTATTTTGACACACTTAAGATCATATCCTACTTGAGAAATTCATATGTAGGTCTACAAAGTAACTCAGGACACTTAAGACTCTAGTTATTTACACAAGACCATTAGTCTTCATCTCATTCTCCATATCAGCTGCTGAATGGTTTGTTAATCATGCATTGTATATTTATTTTGCAGGTTTTAGGAGTGAATGATATTTTTACTAATCCTCATCACACATGTACACAGAAGCTGTAAATTAGTCACACCCTGCTATAAATATAATATTCATTAAATACATTTTAATAAACGTCTCATCAAACATCGTTTAGAGTGGCAGAGAAACTGCTGCTCTCACACACACACACACACACACACACATGCCATCACTGGACTTTTGTAATAGCAGGTTGACTTTTTTCTGTCACATACATCACAGAAAGCTGGCAGACCCTCCCTGCAGGGTGGGGAGAGAAATATGAATGAGAAATGATATAAAAGACGGTATGAAAAGAAATCCAACAGTACTGGAGCTCTACCTGTAGACCTCTCTCACCTCCCACCATGGAGTGGAGAACATCCACAGTCTGTATACTGCTTCTGGTGCTTACCGGGATTCAAGTTGATTCAAAGATGGGTAAGACTTAACTTTCAGTCAAAAAAAAACCTACTTGAAATGATTCTTGAGGGGTTTCATCTGTCTTGTTTATTTGATTTTATTCTTTAATACTCTAAAATCTTTGATGATAAATCTTTTATATTTGGAACTAATTATTTTCCTAGGTATTTTCCTAAGGTCCACAGAGTCAAACATGCCCATATTTGAATAAATACCCACAAATGTGTTTTTATTATTTTATTTTATTTTTTTATATTATTTAAAAAAATGTTTAAGTGTGTTAGCATTTGAGTATGAACATCAGTTATTAACTTAAAAAAAATAAAATGTTAAATTCACAGCTTTTTTAAAAATCATTATATGTTTCTTGAGGATTGTAACCTTGACCATGGCAACGTTGGTGCAAATAGCTTGATGATGTGGTTGGAAACAGCACTGGTATCAGCATCTGGAAAGAAAGAAAAAAGAACCAACTAGCTGATGACTGTTGTGGAGGTCATAGTTTCATCACCTGAACCTGATGCTATCAGTGCCATTGATGACTTGCCTTAGAAGTTACAAAATATTTTCAGTTGTGAAAAGTGACAAAGCTGATTTACTTCCCTTCATGGTGACTTGAAGTTCAGTTTGATCAACTTTGCATAAATTTGTGGATCGACTGTTTTAGTACAAATGTAAAAGTGACCAAATCAGGAATTATATGAGAATGTCATTTGAATTACTGAATTTGAATTGAGTTTGCAAACAGAGAGCATAATTGTAATTAAAGTTTAAGGACATATAATTCAAATCTAAACACAGTTATATAACTGCTGTAAGCATGGATTTTTAATAATACATTACATGTTTTACATGCATTATTTCAGTGATCAACATTTGAAATGCCACTTATAGAAATTTTTATTTAATTTATTTTTAATAAATGACATTTTAATTTATGGGCTGTGGTAGAAGAACAAAAATTCCCCAAATGCTTTAAATTATCTCAAAATTTTCCAAATTAAGTCAAACTTTTCCTTTTTTTTTTTTTGCAGTCTATACCAGTAACCATGTCAACAGCATCTGCAGCATGTGGGGAAACTTCCACTTCAAGACATTTGATGGAGACGTGTATCAGTTCCCAGGCACATGCGAGTATAACCTGGTGTCTGACTGCCAAAGCCTCATTCGCCAGTTCTCAGTTCACGTGAAGAGAACAGAACACAGCACTGGCCCAAACATCAGCAGGGTGTCGATTACCATCAATGACATTGGTGTTGAGTTGACAGAGAAACAGGTCGTAGTCAATGGAGAAAAGTAAGATTCTGGGAAACCCATCTGGCTGCTTATTTGCTCTCACAGCTTTAAAAGGCTTTAAAATGTATTCTGATTGGTCAATTTTTACATTGGAATCTTTTCTCTTGTTCAGAGTAACGCTGCCTGTGCACGTCGCAGGGATTCTTGTGGAAGAGAACACAATTTACACCAGACTCTATTCCAAAATGGGTATCACTGTCAAGTGGAATAAAAAGGATGCTGTTATGGTGAGGTTATCGGCTAGTGTGGCTCATCATGAACTCAAAATGACTCTTACAAAAGTACATATTTAACTACAGGTTTTTTACATGGATATCAGAATTATTTCAGGTACAAACCTAAAATACACTTAACTTGCTTAATTCCTTCCAAGATGGACAACAGTTCAGTAATTGAGTCAAATAAGCGATTCGTGGATAGAATCGGTACTAACAATATGAGTCATTTGTTAGTTCAGACTATACTACTATGTGCTCTGTATTTTTGATTCACTAAAAGAACCGGCTCGCATGAGTCATTTGTTGTCAATGCAATGTCAATCACCGTATTTTCCGTATGTCCCACCTGAATACCAACCTCACTGATGGGCGGGACTACTGTTAATAATTGAAACGGCGAAATACATGATAGACAGACCCAGTACTTTAAAATCACGTTGGAGATGGCGTTTTCTAGTCAGAGGTAGACAAAATGTTCAAGAACAGGTGTTTGGCTTTTATGGCTTTAAATTTGACGTTTATAATCTTTTTGAGAAGTTGAAGGAGCAGAATTTATTTATTGCACAAGTTTTTAATTGAGGTATAACTAGTTTACGCCACAGGAAACCAGTAGGAGACATTTCAAGGGAGTGACCGGACTGAATGATTTAGCATAAAAGAGGATGCTGTTATGGTGAGGTTATCGGCTAGTGTGGCTCATCATGAACTCAAAATGACTCTTACAAAAGTACATATTTAACTACAGGTTTTTAAAATGGATATCAGAATTATTTCAGATACAAACCTAAAATACACTTAACTTGCTTAATTCCTTCCAAGATGGACAACAGTTCAGTAATTGAGTCAGATAAGCGATTCGTGGATAGAATCGGTACTAACAATATGAGTCATTTGTTAGTTCAGACTATACTGCTATGTGCTATCGCTCTGTGTTTTTGATTCACTAAAAGAACCGGCTCGCATGAGTCATTTGTTGTCAATGCAATGTCAATCACCGTATTTTCCGTATGTCCCACCTGAATACCAACCTCACTGATGGGCGGGACTACTGTTAATAATTGAAACGGCGAAATACATGATAGACAGACCCAGTACTTTAAAATCACGTTGGAGATGGCGTTTTCTAGTCAGAGGTAGACAAAATGTTCAAGAACAGGTGTTTGGCTTTTATGGCTTTAAATTTGACGTTTATAATCTTTTTGAGAAGTTGAAGGAGCAGAATTTATTTATTGCACAAGTTTTTAATTGAGGTATAACTAGTTTACGCCACAGGAAACCAGTAGGAGACATTTCAAGGGAGTGACCGGACTGAATGATTTAGCATATTGTGCAAGACAAAGCAACATGTGAAGTGAAAATGCTATATAAGGCAATGTTCTGTTACACACTGAAATGTACAGTAGCTATATCCGTCCTTATGAACATGGTTGTTTCCAATACTGAATTTCAGTCTGCAAGTAATATTCACTGGTGTATACTGACAAAAATGAGGACCATGCAAAAACCATGGTATATATAGTATCATTTGGTACCATTGTATTATTACCATCATTGTACCATGGTACTGTTTCCAAGGGCTGGCATTGGCCTTTCCCCACAAGACTGAACACAAATGATGGCTATTCCATATTCCAGTGTTTTGCTTGCTCTGATCACATAACATTAATACTGACATAAAATCCAAATGGCCAAAAATATTGTCAAATGATCTAACAATGAAGTTCTATGTGGTCCTTTGTTAGGTGGAACTCGACTCCAAATATTCCAATCGCACTTGTGGGCTGTGTGGCGATTTCAATGGCGTCCCAGTTTATAGTGAGTTCATTGAATCAGGTAAGTCACTTTTACAGCCTGATTTCTTAGTCATTATTTGGCCAATTATGAACAGTATAAATGATTATTCCATCCTCATGGATTTCTAATTTGATGAATCTCCAAGAGTTTTAAGAATATCCAAGATCTCCAAGTGTCTTATTTATTGCAGGATGGAAGGTTGGCTATGCTGAGTTTGGTAATATGCACAGAGTTCCCAACCCAACACATGCCTGCAAAGATCCTTTTGAAACCGACGATGAGCAAAATGTGGTTAACAAATGTGAAAAATTTGTAAGTTACAGAAGAAAGTTGATCATTTCAAATTAAATTTGTTAGTCACTCCCTCTATGTCCCAACAGCAACTCAGAATTCCAGTATTGTTACCTAATATGAACCTTTGAGATTCAAGATATTTCATGTCCTTTTCACAACAGCAGGCAGATTGTGCAGACCTTTTGAAGGATGAAAAATGGTCTTCTTGTAGCAGGGTTTTGAACCGTGAGCCGTATATCAAGGCCTGTACAAATGATATTTGCTTACGTCAACCTGAAGATGAAGACACCAACACTTCTGCGCTCTGTGCGACGTTGTCTGAATATTCACGTCAGTGCTCTCACGCTGGAGGAACTCCGCCGTCCTGGAGAACGGCAAACTTCTGTGGTAAGTACCTTGATAATGGGATTCTTCTCTCTTGAGCTGTTCCTTTGTTTTTATTTCTTATTATAAGCAGATGTAAAGACTCTGTGTGTCTTGTATTCTCATGCAGCTGTGACATGCCCGTACAATATGGTACATTCTGAAAGCGGCTCCCCCTGTATGGACACATGCTCACACAAAGACACAAACACACTGTGTGAGGAACACAACATAGATGGCTGCTTCTGTCCGCCAGGTCAGTAACACTATTTATATAATATAAACCACTATTTATTAATATAAACTACTGTTCAAAAGTCTGGGGTGTTTTTTTTTTTAAGGAATCTTTTATTCAACAAGGATGCATTAAATTGATCAAAAGTGACAGTAAAGACATTTACTGTATGATGTTACAAAAGATTTATATTTTTGAAGAATCCTGAAAAGAGTAAGTAGCCCAACTGTTTTCAGCATTAACGATAATAAGACATTTTTCTTGAGTAAAGGATCATGGAAGACTGGAGTAATGGCTGCTAAAAATTCATCTTTGCCCCACATATATAAATTATGTTTAAAAAAATATTTATTATTTTAAATTGTAATAAGGTTTCACAATATTAGTGTTTTTTATGTAATTTTTGAAGAACCACATAAAGTTGATGATGCATTGTGTCTTCGTTATAGGAACTGTGTTTGATGACATCTCAAACACGGGCTGCATCCCAGCAGAAAAGTGTCAGTGCAAGCATGACCGCATCTACAGCACAGGAGAGATCCTACGCAAAGATGAGGAAGAATGGTATAAAACACATTTAACTCGGTTCTCTTATTCCAATTATGGATATGTATGGCACTTTTTTTTTTATCCCAGTGCATTCTGTCCCCTTTCATGTCTTTTACTACTTGTATAGAAGAAAAATATTTATATTCGTCAATATTACTATTAACTGCATATACCTGACAAAATGCTAAACTATGATGACATTGGATGTATGGGAAAAACTGCAATTTTATAAATATATAAAATCATCAGAACTGTGATTTATCTAGTTAGCATCTGAAGCTCATTGTTTTCAGCATCTGTTTGTAATTGTATTGTGTAATTAGTATATGTGCGGAGGGAAACTGGATCTGTACGAGTATTCCCGGCCCTGGCCTGTGCGCTGTAGAGGAAGGATCACACTTCACCACCTTTGACGGGAAAGAATTCACTTTCCATGGAGACTGTAAATATGTGCTCTCAAAAGTAAGAGTGTTTTAGTTACTAACTACACCTTATTTAACTGTTAAGACATGTTGGGGTTATTTTTGTATCCATGCTTTAGGAATATGTGAAATTCCTAATAAATGTCAACGTCTGCATTTCTTTTTGTAGGACTGTAAGGAGTCCAGGTTCATCATATTGGGTCAGATTGTTCCTTGTTTTACTCATCAAACTGATACCTGTTTAAAGTCTGTTGTGGTGCTTTTTAACAACGACATGAAAAATGTGCGTACACCTCTCTACTTCCACAATCTTGTATATTTGGCTTTTATAGCATACAAGTCTTTTTGACAGTTTGAGTGTTAATGAGATGTGCATATTACAGTACTGCTCAAAAGTTTAAGATCAGTAAGATTTTTTAAAATGTTTATGCTTACCAAGGCTGCATTTATTTGATTGAAAATACAATCAAAACAGCAATACTGTTAAATATTATTACAATTTAAAGCAACTATTTTTCTATTTTAATATATTTGAAAATGTGGTATATTCCTGTGATTGCAGTGTATGAAATTTTAGTCTTCAGTGTCACACTGTGCTCTTTCTTCTTCAGGCTCTGATTATTAAACCTGATGGGACGGTACAGCACAATGCAGACGTTACACTTCCTTACATGACAGGTGAGGGAGAAGAAGCTCTTTATTTATTTTCTGTGTTTTAGAGCCTATGTGCTAAAAATATATATGAAGTGTTTTTCAAACACTTTGACTGTTTTCTCTCAGCTGACTTCACAGTGTTCATGCCGTCATCGTTTCACATCATGCTTCAGACCAGCTTTGGGCTGCAGGTGCAAGTACAGCTGGTGCCTCTTATGCAGGTGTACATCACTGTGGACCAAAGCTTCCAGGGCAAGACTTGTGGTGAGACCTCTGTCTTAAAACGCATGATACAACATCTGAATTACAAAGTGAATCCATCATGATAGCCAATGATGTGTGATTTCTGTGTTTATGCAGGTATCTGTGGAAATTTTAACAAAGTGCTGTCAGATGATCTCAAGACCCCTCAGGGAGTGGTGGAGGGTACACCGGTTTCCTTCGCAAACGCCTGGAAGGCCCAGTCCAACTGCCCCGACCGTACTGAGAGAATGGACGACCCCTGTTCCTACAGTAGTGACAGCGGTGAGAGACTTTTTGATTCTGAAGTCAGGGTGGACAGTTTCAGTTTCATATTTTATTTGTTGTATACATCTACAGAAGGGTTTAGAAGTGCACAAATTAATTTTAACCAAACCTTAATCACAGGGCTGGGCAAAAAATTGAATGCGATTTTCATGCGAATCTCATCAGTAATCACTAATCATCATTCTGGTGATTAGTAGTAAATCTCCAGCATGTGCTTTCAGATGGAGCACCATGTACTACACAGAGCCGTAGATCACTGACAAGCTACACAAAATCGCGTTCAAAATCGCATGCGATTCATTGCCGATTTTGAATGCAATTTTGTGTAGCTTGTCAGTGAACTACGGCTCTGTGTTGTAAATGCCGCGCCATCTGAAAGCACGTGCTGGAGATTTACTACTAATCACCAGAAGCGGCTTTACTGACGATATGCGCATGAAAATCGCATTCGATTTTTTGCACAGCCCTACTTAATCAAAACTACATCAACAGCTGGCAGAATTCTTCTAATACTGTTGCATCAGCCAGTATTTATACATAAAAATAGTTGGTGCACATGTTTAATGCTAGTCTACATGGTATCTGTTCATTTATGCATTTTGTTGTTAAGTTTTGCTTAAAATACCATTGTGGACTCGAGTCACATGACTCGAGACTTGACTTGGACTCAAGTCTCAAATCTCTGAAGACTGAAGATCTGGAATCCATGGCAGCTTACACCGGCCTAGGCATGTCAAACAACCAATCACAGTTTGTTTCGTTCATCGTCACGTTTCTGGGCGTGGAAATGTCGACACAATAACAAACTGGTGCATAAAACTCTCGGACGTATTTTAAAGATTCTATGCCGCGAACTTTAAATATTTCACATACTTTTGAAAATCCAGTATTTAGTTGATCCTGATAAGCATTCGTCGTCACAGTTGTAAACATGACGGCTTTCTACTTTCGTGAGGGGATTTGGCATCACGGCATCTTTGTTTCCAGGCGGAACGTTAAAGAACGCGACACGCACGTCTATCGGAAATCCTGTATAATTCAACCAATCCGACGACGACTTCGAAACTCCTGAAGTGTTTCCACTTTTAGCCAACAGTCCGTGGGCGTGACTGAGGCTGAGACTACTCCCCTGGTAACCAGCCAATCACAACTCTATTTTTTGTTTTTAGAAGGTATATTCCTATATATGTATTCAAATGAAAATGGCAACATCGTTTTATAAAGTATATGCATTCATATGTGCTTCATTTTCACTGGAGGAAACCTGTGTTGTAATGTGGGGTGAACACAGCGAAAACTTAGATGGGGAAGGCTACAGTAGATGGGGAACCGATTGCTCCCCCATGATATTTTGTAAACTGTATTTATGACAGAACTGCACAGATGCGGATATTATAACAATCTATCGATAAACACACACCTTGTCCTCTTTTTCTCGCTCTGCGCCGCCGCAGCCTGCGGATTGAAAAAGAACGCGCTGAAAGACGGGCAGATCGAAGTCTGCCGCTGTTTTCACATGAAATTTAAAGGGGACTGAGGCGATCACGAATTCGTGTACAGTTTATGGAACTACACTGAACAAAATTATAAACGCAACACTTTTGTTTTTGCCCCCATTTTTCATGAGCTGAACTCAAAGATCTAAGACTTTTTCTATGTACACAAAAGGCCTATTTCTCTCATATATTGTTCACAAATCGGTCTAAATCTGTGTTAGTGAGCTCTTCTCCTTTGCCGAGATAATCCATCCACCTCACAAGTGTGGCCTATCAAGATACTGATTAGACAGCATGATTCTTGCACAGGTGTGCCATAGGCTGGCTACAATAAAAGGCCACTCTAAAATGTGCAGTTTTACTGTATTGGGGGGTCCGGCGGGGTCCGAAAACCAGTCAGTATCTGGTGTGACCATCATTTGCCTCACGCAGTGCAACACATCTCCTTCGCATAGAGTTGATCAGGTTGTTGATTGTGGTGCTAGTCTACATGGTATCTGTTCATTTATGCATTTTGTTGTTAAGTTTTGCTTAAAATACCATTGTGGACTCGAGTCACATGACTCGAGACTTGACTTGGACTCAAGTCTCAAATCTCTGAAGACTGAAGATCTGGAATCCATGGCAGCTTACACCGGCCTAGGCATGTCAAACAACCAATCACAGTTTGTTTCGTTCATCGTCACGTTTCTGGGCGTGGAAATGTCGACACAATAACAAACTGGTGCATAAAACTCTCGGACGTATTTTAAAGATTCTATGCCGCGAACTTTAAATATTTCACATACTTTTGAAAATCCAGTATTTAGTTGATCCTGATAAGCATTCGTCGTCACAGTTGTAAACATGACGGCTTTCTACTTTCGTGAGGGGATTTGGCATCACGGCATCTTTGTTTCCAGGCGGAACGTTAAAGAACGCGACACGCACGTCTATCGGAAATCCTGTATAATTCAACCAATCCGACGACGACTTCGAAACTCCTGAAGTGTTTCCACTTTTAGCCAACAGTCCGTGGGCGTGACTGAGGCTGAGACTACTCCCCTGGTAACCAGCCAATCACAACTCTATTTTTTGTTTTTAGAAGGTATATTCCTATATATGTATTCAAATGAAAATGGCAACATCGTTTTATAAAGTATATGCATTCATATGTGCTTCATTTTCACTGGAGGAAACCTGTGTTGTAATGTGGGGTGAACACAGCGAAAACTTAGATGGGGAAGGCTACAGTAGATGGGGAACCGATTGCTCCCCCATGATATTTTGTAAACTGTATTTATGACAGAACTGCACAGATGCGGATATTATAACAATCTATCGATAAACACACACCTTGTCCTCTTTTTCTCGCTCTGCGCCGCCGCAGCCTGCGGATTGAAAAAGAACGCGCTGAAAGACGGGCAGATCGAAGTCTGCCGCTGTTTTCACATGAAATTTAAAGGGGACTGAGGCGATCACGAATTCGTGTACAGTTTATGGAACTACACTGAACAAAATTATAAACGCAACACTTTTGTTTTTGCCCCCATTTTTCATGAGCTGAACTCAAAGATCTAAGACTTTTTCTATGTACACAAAAGGCCTATTTCTCTCATATATTGTTCACAAATCGGTCTAAATCTGTGTTAGTGAGCTCTTCTCCTTTGCCGAGATAATCCATCCACCTCACAAGTGTGGCCTATCAAGATACTGATTAGACAGCATGATTCTTGCACAGGTGTGCCATAGGCTGGCTACAATAAAAGGCCACTCTAAAATGTGCAGTTTTACTGTATTGGGGGGTCCGGCGGGGTCCGAAAACCAGTCAGTATCTGGTGTGACCATCATTTGCCTCACGCAGTGCAACACATCTCCTTCGCATAGAGTTGATCAGGTTGTTGATTGTGGCCTGTGGAATGTTGGTCCACTCCTCTTCAATGGCTGTGCGAAGTTGCTGGATATTGGCAGGAACTGGAACACGCTGTAATATACGCCGATCCAGAGCATCCCAAACATGCTCAATGGGTGACATGTCCGGTGAGTATGCTGGCCATGCAAGAAATGGGAAAGGGCAACAGCTCTGGTGGACATTCCTGCAGTCAGCATGACAATTGCACGCTCCCTCAAAACTTTCGACATCTGTGGCATTGTGCTGTGTGATAAAACTGCACATTTTAGAGTGGCCTTTTATTGTGGCCAGCCTAAGGCACACCTGTGCAAGAATCATGCTGTCTAATCAGCATCTTGATATGCCACACCTGTGAGGTGGATGGATTATCTCGGCAAAGGAGAAGTGCTCACTAACACAGATTTAGACAGATTTGTGAACAATATTTGAGAGAAATAGGCCTTTTGTGTACATAGAAAAAGTCTTAGATCTTTGAGTTCAGCTCATGAAAAATGGGGGCAAAAACAAAAGTGTTGCATTTATAATTTTGTTCAGTGTAATTGCAAAATTTTAATGGCCTAGCGACGCCTATGCTGGTTACTGAAGTGTATGATCACACTGGTATGATTAGCAGCTTTTGGCACTGAGCCAGAGAGGGGCTTGCCCAGTGAGCGCTTGTCAGTGTTTTCAACCACATAATGTTTCAGACATTTAAAATGCACATCATCACTATAAACCATTTATAATAGTAATAATAATAATAACAATATACTCCGATGTATATGGAAACGTAATTAACCTTTCAAACATAATTCGATTTTTTTTTCACATCAAACGCACATTGTATGTAGCCTACCTGTAAAGTTCACTTTATTTATCTTCTTGTTTACCAGCCACTCACTTCATGTCTTTCAGAAGAAATGGATGAATTCTCATGGTGTAAATCCGGCTACAACATGCTAGCGCATATAGCCCCTAAACTAAGCCATCAACTGTGATCATTGTGAATTTGTTTGAGCCACAAAATGCATTGACTTACATATATTTGAGAATCTGAATATCTACAGTTTTGGCGTGAGTAATTTTGCATGCCTCATTTGAACGGTGTGCTCGATATATTAACTCAAACCCTATTAGGATGATTAAAATATTAACATTTTATTCTGAATGAAGAATAACATAAAGACAGTGCAGTGTGATGATTATAACTATATCACTATAATGCGCTCCTTTCTGTGACAGCATGAAATTTGAATAATTTGCTGTTATCAACATTTGTTGAAGGAATAGCCTATAAGAACATAAAATAATATACTGTAGAGCTACAAGAAAACACATTTATTCATTCCTTCCGTCTATTAAATCCATTCACTGATGGTTTCTTATTTTTATTTAAGATTTGTAGCCTATATATTATAACTATTCTTATATATTTACTTTTCAGCTTCATTAAAGCTGTCTATTTTTGTAAACCTACGTCGGTAGGTGGCGATAAATGAGTGTCTGATTTACGTATTAGCACGTTATTAAATATTTGACTCAATTGATTCATAAAAATCACTGAATCATTTACAAATGAAACAGTGAACATGATAGAAATTGTTCATTCACTTAGGTCTACGATTTGTTCACAAACAATGATTCATTCCTCCACGAAACACCACTAATTATTATATCTTTATTATTATTATTATACTTAATTATACTTACTATAGACTATTAATGACTTGAAATTTACTGTAGTAATTAATACAGAGACACTAATTTGGGCAAACAGCACTAATGACTTGTTTAGGACTTGAAGCTTAAAGTTGAGGACTTGCAACTCATCTTGGACTTGCCTATCTTGACTCTGGACTTGAATGCAAAGACTCAAGACTTACTTGTGACTTGCAAAACAATGACTTGGTCCCACTTCTGCTTTTAGAACACTTTGCCGAGCACTGGTGTTCCGAGATGAAGGACAAGAAGAGCCTCTTTGCCAAATGTCACGCCACTGTCAATCCAGACAGCTACTACAAAGTATGATCTGAAACGGTTGCAGATTATAGATTATAGCATTTTCTTAATCTTTTGCAACTAAGCAACCCAGTATTCATTTTATATTATTTATATTGTATTATAGCATTTATGAATATTTTGAATTAGCTTTTATTTTTATAGTTTTATAGTTTTCTTTCAGTTTTGTGCTTTTGTTCATTTTTATTAAAATAAAAAATATTATATTTAGCTTCAAATCTATGACAAACTAAACGTTTCTAACTAAATCCCAGCTTCCACAACATGTCTATGTGCTTTCAGAGATGCAAATACTCCAGCTGTACCTGTGAGAAGAGTGAGGACTGTCTGTGTACGGTGTTCTCCTCATACTCCCGGGCCTGTGCGGCTAAAGGAATATTCCTCCAAGGCTGGCGAGAAATCGTGTGCGGTAAGATGGCTGAAAACGTAGATGGATGCATGATGGGAAAATTTCAGTGAACTAAACATCAAAAGTATTTTATTCTGCCTTTGGTCGAAAATCGTGTGATTAATTGTGACTTTGTTTTCCACATTAACAAAGAAATGCATAGAATTTTATACAGCGTACAATTTTTCCTTTGCACTATTCTTTTTTCTATTCTAAATTTTATTATAAAAATCTGTCAAATTTATTATAAAAATGTGATATTAAATACATTTGAAATTAATTCTAAAAGTTCCAGTTTTTATATCTTGGATTAAAAAATATTTAAATTAAATATTTTCCAGATAATATTTTATTTTAGTACAATGATAATGAGCCGATGCCAACTTCATGTCATTATAATATAATGCTTACCATTTTTCACACACTATGTAAGTACTGTATATAAAAATATATAGCTGGCTTTACATTTTAGGAAGGGCATCCTTTACAAGTGGGATCATCATATTTGGGTGTGTCAAAGAGCTAGAAAATCCCTCATCTAACCTAGAAGATTAAAAGAATGCTTATGTAATTTTGCTACATACATCTTTAAGACATAGTGCCTTTCAAACTGGTCCCTACAGAGAAGTATACAGAGAATTGCCCGGCCTCGCAGAACTACTCATATCAGCTGCAGAGCTGTCAGCGTACCTGTTTGTCTCTCGCCTCTGAGCGCCAAAGCTGCAGTGTCGACTTCGTGCCTGTTGATGGATGTGCATGTGCAGAAGGACTCTACCATGATGAGAATGGATTGTGTGTACCTATGGAAAAATGTCCATGTTACCACAACGGACAGAAAATTAATCCCGGCAAGTCTGTCACCATTAGGGATGAACACTGGTAAGTGAATGTTAATATAGGTATTAGTGCACTAGCTATACAAGAACTTTGATTTTAATAGAGTTTGATCTTATTTCTCTGTCTAGTGTTTGCATGAATGGAAAACTCCACTGTCGTTCCTGGAAAACCCAAACTCTGGGTATGAAAAATTACATTCATCTACTGCTTAGGTTAAATAAGTTTGCTTTTGGTTTACATAGGCTACCATCACTAGTACTGGGCTATCATGGCATCTGCAACCAAGGCATTATAGAGTTATCAAGTCAAATGTGATATTAAAATTAACTGGCTAACCAAGGTTTTGATAACCAACAACAGTGAATATTAAATAGTGGTCAATTAATATGGATTTTTAATGGCCAGCAGTGATATGTTAGAGAACAAGGTGGCCGAAGGCAAATATGTGACCCTGGAGCACAAAACCAGTCTTAAGTCGCTTGGGTATATTTTTAGCAATAGCCAAAAAAGATTTTTCTTTTATGCCAAAAATCATTAGGATATTAAGTAAAGATCATGGTCCATGAAGATATTTTGTAAATTTCCTACTGTAAATATATCAAAACTTCATTTTTGATTAGTAATATGCATTGCTAAGGACTTCATTTGGACAACTTTAAAGGCAATTTTCTCAGTATTTAGATTTTTTTGCACCCTCAGATTCCAGATACTCAAATAGTTGTATTTCAGCCAAATATTGTCCTATCCTAACAAACCATACATCAATGGAAGGCTTATTATTCAGCTTTCAGATGATGTATAAATCTCAATTTCAAAAATTTGACCCTTATGACTGGTTTTGTGGTCCAGGGTCACATATTGCTGCACAAGTTAGCTTACAGATAGTAAATAACGTCTCAGGTTACTTATGTAACCATGGTTCCCTGAGTAGGGAACGAGACACTGCGTCCTCTAGGGGTCGCTCACTATGAAGCCATAGAACCAACCAAACCTAATAGGTCCAGCATAGGACACTATAATGCAGGAAATTCCTCGGTCAGGTGGAGAGATGGTGGTTACGGGGAAATTAGGAAGGTGAAGATAAGGGCAGATGTAAGACCCCCGAAGGAAATGAATAGATACTGAGGTATCACTCTGATCCGGACAAAAGCGCTGACTCCCTGTCTGGATGACATCCCTTAGGTCTTTTACTTACCTTCCTTTGACCCGCGATTCTTCCTTCCCCTACCCGCGGGCGGGGGAGGTCTCGCGACGTCACTTTCTTCACACGCTTCTTGCCGTGGCGCGATCCATAATTTCCAAAAGCTCATCATACGCAGGACAGGAGGATTGGGAAGGCTCAGCCTCAGCTTCTTTGCCCTCCTCAGACATCCCAGCAGAGCACTGGCCCCTGAATCAGACAATGTTAATGAAATAACATCATCCTCCAGCGGCTCACTCTCGTGCACAGCCGACGATCACGAAAGGGAAACCCCCTCGGAGGCATCGCGTGCGTGCTCTTCGCCCAAACAAATAACGCATAGATCGTGTGTCATCAGATGTCAAACAACGTCAACACTGATGCACACATCCTTAAACGCTTTGCTAGTGCTCGCCATAATGAGATCAAAATTTATCGTACATAATAAATACTAATTTAACAATTATAGTTTATTTTATATAATATAATATAATACAAAATAGTAATATGAAAGTACACCCTTCTCTGCGAAATTGCTCAACATCTGTTGTAAACAGTCTTTAAATATGGTTTCTGATATAAAAAGTACATGAATGATGCAGCATCTGCGTCTGGTATCTTTTGCAGGATGTTCCTCTCCGAAGGTTTTCTTCAACTGCAGTACAGCAGCCCCAGATGAACATGGATTGGAGTGTGCAAAGACTTGTTTGCAACAGGAAGTTGACTGTGTGAGTGTGCAGATTCCAACTCTCTTTTTCTTTACCAAAGTCTATCACTTGGGTTTGATTTGCTGATGGTGTTATTAGTGTGGATAACAGCATTTTGCTTGTACATAATGTTTTCTTCCCTTCTTTCCAGTTCTCACTGGACTGTCAGTCTGGCTGCCAGTGTCCTTCAGGTCTATTGGATGATGCCAGAGGATACTGTGTTAAACCAGATAACTGCCCGTGTAAACATGATGGACAGTTTTATGCACCAGGATCTAAGATAACCATAGATTGCAATAAATGGTCTGTAAAACCCTTGTTATTTTAGTATCATTAATATACTATTGCAGTTTTTATATTTTCCATTTTAATTTTATAGTATTAGTAATTTTGTGTTTGTCATTTTTTTAACTACTTTAAAAAAAATATATCGTTTTTATTCATTTTTATTTCAGTTTTAGTTGTTTTTTAGTACTTCAAGTTAAACTGTGCACATTATAAATGTTGCAACTAGCTTAAATAAAATAAGTTAATAAAAAAAAAATTTATATTGACTTTTTTAGTTCAGGTAATGTTTTTTTTATTTCAAGTAATGAAAATGTTTTTTGATTTATTTTTTGTTAACAATAATAACCCAGTGTAAAACAACAGCCATTACCATTGCCACATTAAAGTTACATTACTATAAAACATCTCAGGTTACTTATACAACCATGGTTCCCTGAGTAGGGAACGAGACACTGCGTCCTCTAGGGGTCGCTATGGGGAATGCCTCGTCGTGACCCGTGTCTGAAGCATACATTGAAAAAACACCAACAACACGTTGGCCGGTGACAGCCATGACGTCACTACAGGTGCGACTATAGTATAAATAGGCACCGGGAGAACACATCATCCACTTCTTCGTCTGAAGCTTGCGTCCGCAGCATGGCAAGAAACCTAGAGGATGCAGTGTCTCGTTCCCTACTCAGGGAACCATGGTTACATAAGTAACCTGAGACGTTCCCTTTCATGGGAACTTCGAACTGCATCCTCTAGGGGTCGCTATGGGGAACGGTATACCCACGCCACCATGCTGAGGGGAGTGCATGCCAGAAACCATGGCGAGCACTAAGTACCAACTCTACCATATTGCCATGGGAGTTACCCCCGGGACGTTAGACGGCTGTCAGTGACATTATTCCCTACGGCCAAAGGCCTAGGCTACATACCTAAATAAACTTACCTGTTAGAGCCAGAACTCCTGGACCCGGGGTAAAGCTCAAGGCTTGGAATCAGGAATAGATTCCTTTAAGGGAATACGACCAAGAGCCAAGAATCATATCAAGTCTTGGCCTGTCACACAGGGGCTACCGCACACTCTGCATATGCTAAAGGAACTGTCTCAACAGACCCCTAGTAGCAACACCCTGTTAAAGTAGGTATCCAGAGGATACATAAATGGAGTGGTGCCCAAGGCGGAACCGGGGTTTTAAACCACTCAGAAAGAGCACGAGGCTGCTGCGCGTAGCTCTTACCATACAGGATTTTAGAAAAGAACGCAGAGTACTAGAGTGCGAACTTACCACAGTGTGGATTTTAGAAAGTGTACAAAGACTTCACGTGCACACTTACCATAACATGGATTTGAAAAATACCATTCTAAGGGGTTCTCATGGCACTCTGAAAAAGCAGCCCATAGATGGAAATGGTGCATCCCAAAACGCTATGTTTGAGAAGTCATCAACTCGATCTAAGGCTTATAATGCTGGAGTGGCTAGCAGTAAATCTGTAGCTGAGGGAGCAAACTTCCAGCTCTCAATAGAGAGGGAGCTCGACCTACAGCCTGTTCCAATGGTGGAACAGCTAGCAATAATTTACTTAGCTGTGGGAGCAACACACCCAGTTCTCAGTCGAGAAGGGGGCTCGACCTACAGCATGTTTCAATGCTGGAACTGCTAGCAGTAATTTACCTTAGCTGAGGGAGCACAAACCCAGCTCTCAGTGAGAGGGGGGGCACGACCTACAGCGTGATTGTTAGAATCAGAAGGGTAAGTGTACTGCAAGCTAGCCAAAAAACTCAGCGCATCAGAGAGGCAGAGGAAGGGCCTAGCTCGCCTGATGCTGCTGGTTCCAGGTGCTCTGAGAAAAACAGAGAACTCAACTCTCACATGAGAGGAGAAGTCCGAATTCAGAAGGAGCATCGTGCTCATAGGTAACCCTTTTATAAAAGGGGAGCACTGCTCAGCACTACCACAAGAACCTCCCATGGAGCGAGGAATCCAACTCTTCAGAGAGAATTAAATGCTCGAAGGAAAGCACCATGCTCACAATAACCCTTAATGGTGAGGGGAGTGATGCTTCCAGAGTGTGTCGACAGAGACACACTAGTTGAGTGGAACCCAAGGTACCGGGGTCTGAACCAACTCAGAAAAAGGGAACGAGGCTAATAACGCGTAACCCTTACCATACAGGATTTCAGAAAAGTGGGCAAAGCATAACATGCACACTTACCACTTATGTGGATTTTTAGAAAGTGCGCAAAGCTTATATGTGTGCACTTACCATAGTATGGATTCAAGAGTTTTCCAAGCATCTGCTCACAGATATACAACTAACTCTAAGGTGAGGGGAGCACTGCCTGAGACAGCATTACACAAGAAGGTTCTCGCAAATGCCACCTATACTTCCCGCTCGATGCCTCAGCAAGAGGGTATGTCCTGGTGATCGGGAGGCCCCTCAGGACGACCTAGATACGGTAGACCAGACAGGGCAGCCTGAAAGCATAAGCCCAGCCCGGACGTCCAGGAAATTTTTGCAGTGCCGTGCCGGGGGCCTAATGATCAAGAAGGCTCCAGCAGAAGCCTGTGACCTGGCCGCATAATCCAGGAAGTATGAAGCCGAAACCAGACTTATCGTACCGTCTGGACATATATCGACGAGTGAAATAAACACTGCACTCAGCTACCTCATCAGGAGAAAGGCCCTGGCCTTCATCCAGGTCTTTTTTAGCAGGTCAGCCTGATATGCTTGGAGCATCACCATCATGTACAATGAAGCGACAGCCCGACCTGCTGCTGCGTATGCCCTGGCATTAGAGCGAGATGTCAAGGAGGGAGTCTTAAAAGAGGACGTCTCACCCATAGAGATATAGCTTGGCAGCGTCTCTCTATAGGGGCATCTTCTCATAACCGCTTTTGCGCATCACCTCGATGTTGGCATAACTCGTATGCTGGAATCGATGGATGCGTGAGGAAAAAATGGCCTCTTCCATTCCTTCTCAATCTCTGCATGGAAAACAGGAAGAAAGGAAGGCTCACCTGAGCTGGAGGGTTATGGCCAGAAAAAAAACGTTCATCAAGATGACCTCGCGACGTCCCTTTCTTCGCCCTCTTCACGGCAAGTAAAGCCTCGCCGTGGCGCGATCCATAACTTCCAAAAGCTCATCATACGCAGGGCAGTAGGATTGGGAAGGCTCAGCCTCAGCTTCTTTGGCCTCCTCAGACATTTCCTGCTTTTGCTGGACCGAACTCAGCAGAGCACTGGCCCCTGGATCAGACAATGTTAATGAAATAACATCATCCTCCAGTGGCTCACTCTCGTCCACAGCCGACGATCGCGAGAGGGAAAACCCCTCTTCAAACTCATCGGCCAGATCCACCTGCGATCCCCACGAGCTCATTCTCCTCTGTGCCTCAGCAGCGGCGGGTCCTGAATCGCGGGAAGCAGATGGCTGCCCCTCTTTCCTCGAAAAGAGAGGCAAACGAGAGTGGAGCATTTTCATTGGAAAAACACTAGGGATGCACCGATATGAAAATTTTGGCCGATACCGATAACCGATTATTCTTTATTTTTGAAAGCCGATAACCGATATGTTGGCCGATAAATCTATATCCAAATTGTTATATACTTTTTGAGAGCCTGATTACAAAAAAGGTCTCATCATTAAAAGCCACATCCCAAACACTTCAACATAAGCAGCCTAGTTTGAACGGTGTACGTTTAAAAAATATTTTTACTCTCCCATTACCAAATTTAGTCATAAAAAAGCCTTACAAATAAATAAAATTATGCATAAATAATGCAAACAAGTCACTGGACATCATTACACATGTAAAGAATCAAAATGAATGCGCCACAGATCAATAAAACGGAATAGCCTCTGCACGGACAATAATTAAATGATTTTAATTACTAAACCATATTGTTGATGAAAATAATAAGAGAAAAATACAAGTGGTTGTTGTTATTAATAATATATCAATGATTTTGAAAAAGTAACAAATTAATACCACTGTTTTAAATAGCAGCCATTGAGCTGCAGCTCAAGCTGAAGCTGAAGAGCTGAATGAACACGGTAAACTGAAGCGTTTTGCTGGCAGCTTATTTAACTCAAGGAAATGCATCCTGAGATTAATATTAATACAACATAAACATAATATTACAACTTATATATGTACAAAATGACGCAGTTATTGCATGCTATAGTCAGAATGTGTGATCCTGTTGTGGATGCGCTCTTCCCATAACAACGCGCTGAAACACAGCAACTAAACCCAAAGAATGCACAACGTTTTATTATAATAATGTTCTCATTAGAATGTTATATACACGACATTCCCAATCATAGTTATTAATGTTGTGCACTGCTGTTTGAGCTGCGTGCGCTGAGCTAAAGACGATCACCGGTAAACTGAAGCGCTCTTTTAACTTAACCAAACGCATTCTATATGAGATAAATCAGATATACATCAAATAAACACAATATTACAACGTACAATTGCACAAAAGGCTGCAAACGAACAGCGCACATCTGATCCATTCCTTCTCAATCTCTGCATGGAAAACAGGAAGAAAGGAAGGCTCACCTGAGCTGGAGGGTTATGGCCAGAAAAAAAACGTTCATCAAGATGACCTCGCGACGTCCCTTTCTTCGCCCTCTTCACGGCAAGTAAAGCCTCGCCGTGGCGCGATCCATAACTTCCAAAAGCTCATCATACGCAGGGCAGTAGGATTGGGAAGGCTCAGCCTCAGCTTCTTTGGCCTCCTCAGACATTTCCTGCTTTTGCTGGACCGAACTCAGCAGAGCACTGGCCCCTGGATCAGACAATGTTAATGAAATAACATCATCCTCCAGTGGCTATGGGCCGATACCGATATGGTGGCCGATATATCGTGCATCCCTAAAAAACACTCGCAGTGCACGCCGATTGCCCCCTCGGAAATATTGCGTGCGTGCTCTTCGCCCAAACAAATAACGCATAGATTGTGTGTGTCATCAGATGTTAAACAGCGACAACACGGATGCACACATCCTCTAAACACTTTGCTAGTGCTCGTCATAATTATATGAATAGAGATCGCTCTTACTACAGAAATGCACGCTTCTAACAAAACAGTCAATGAAGACGAAGAAGAGGATGATGTGTTCTCCCGGTGCCTATTTGTACTATAGTCGTGTTGTTGGTGTTTTTTCAATGTATGCTTCAGCCACGGGCCACAACGAGGCGTTCCCCATAGCGACCCCTAGAGGATGCAGTTCGAAGTTCCCATGAAAGGGAACCCCTAAGTAATGAGGAAATACAACCTGGCCTTTAATGATCAATAGCATAATACTGTAGAACCACAGAAGATTTGAGTCTACTTCTATATTTACAGTACTTGCCGACGGGGAAATTGGAAATGTACACATTATAAGTGTCCAGGAATATGCACCATATATGGCAGCGGACATTATAGAACTTTCGATCAGCAAACATTCGGCTTCAGGGGAGACTGCAGTTATATTGCTGCTCAGGTATGTGCATTTTGACAGAGGCTTTATTTAAATAAAATTACAAATAAAGCTCTTCCTTCAGGAGGCAACAAGTCGCATTCTCTTGTTTTGCAGAACAAGTGTGGAAATAAAACTGGCACATTTCATGTGATCACTGAGAATATGCCTTGTGGAACAACAGGAACCACATGTTCAAAGGCTGTCAAGATACTTTTGGGGGTAAGGCCACAGGCGCAGGTCTCATGCTATGTAGTTTTATATTTAGCAAAGCATTCAGTACTATGGTACATTCAGAGAAAAATATTTTTTTTTAAGGGTCATGAAATACTAAAGCAAGCTGTTCGGCATGTTAATGTTATTTTTACGTGTGGTATAAGACAATAATAGTGCATGCAATTGTAGCGAATTTAGCTCACAACAGGAAATATGAATAATTAACCATAACTAATTATGATTTTTACATTTAAAAGGCCAATGAAGGATTTTCCCCTCATCTTCTTCAACATTTGAAAGCAATATAGAGTCAAAGTCAGTCACTGGATTGCAATGTTTGCTATTGTTTTTTTTACTTATCTCTCACTCAGAGGACTTTACTGCTGCTTTCTGATGGGACTGTAACAGCCACTGACACTGGAAGTGGTCCAGAGATCAAGTATACTGAGAGAACCGTTGGGATGTACCTTGTCATTGATGCTAACATCGGACTGACAGTTTTGTGGGACCACAAAACCACCATCCGCATCATTCTGCAACCTCAGCACATGGTGAGTTGAAGTCATGAATAATGATCTGCAGTTTTTTCATGTTTTGAACGGACACTTCCAGACAATTTACAACAGTCCCTGAATTTGATTTATTTGTAGCGTAACATCGGTGCTTTGTTGTTTTTTCAAAGGAAGACGTTTGTGGCCTGTGTGGAAATTTCAATGGAAATGCAAAAGATGACTTTACCACTCAGGGACATTTGCCAACTACAAATATAATGGAGTTTGTGGACAGCTGGAAAGTGTCAAGTAATTGCCCGGATGCAAAACCAGACTTTAATCCATGCTTTGAGACCCCCAATCGAGAGACATGGGCAAAAATACAATGTAGCATCATCAAGGATATCAAGGGACCATTCAAAGACTGCCATAACAAGGTACAGTTGCAAAGACTTTTGAGTCAATAAATGGAGTTATGGAGTTATTGACTATAATGTGGTATACAAGAAACCTACCTATTTTTTAAGGATGGGAATGCTTGTTCCCACAGGTGGATCAAAACCCATTTTATGAGAACTGTGTGAAGGACTCGTGTGCATGTGACACAGGTGGAGATTGTGAGTGCTTCTGTACAGCTGTTGCAGCTTATGCTCAAGCCTGCAATGAGGCAGGTGTTTGTGTGAACTGGAGAACACCTGAGATCTGTCGTAAGCATCTTTAATTCTAGTGCGCAACTTATTCTGTAATCTTTAAATGTGATTTTCATGCAGATTCTGAATCATCAGCTAGTGTTTTCACAAAAAAAAGATAATGTGAATGAATTGATTGCCTGATCGTTGCTTTAAATGATTTCTTTCTTTCAACAATTTATTGCAGTTTTCTTGTATTTCATTTAGTTCAAATGTACATGTTCATACTTATATCCATGTTTCCATATCAGCTGTGTACTGTGACTACTACAATAATGGAACAGATGATTGCACATGGCATTACAGTCCTTGTCATACACCTTGCTACAAAACCTGTCTCAACCCTAATACCTGCAATAACAGTTTACCCAACCTGGAAGGTGAGTTGTCATTCGGTGCACACTAGTTTGCATGTTTGAAGACTGAGTATGCATACTGGATATTTCTTGACCTTATATTTAGTGCTAAACTGGGATTAGAAATGGTTCAAGGAACAAAAACATTAATGAACAACATTTTTTGGTGGAAAGTACTATAATAATTTTACAACAATATAACAAAAACATTTTCTATTTAATTTCTGGTAACTAGTTAAGAATATTTTAAGAATGTAAACTTAAGTAATTATACCAATATCTATCTCTGTCTCTCGCACTTCTCTTTCTTAAACACTTTCTAGTTCCAAAACATGAAGACGATGGCATCATCTATCGGCCCAACCCTAGTAGACATTTAATTGATAAACAGATACAGACAGATGGTTGACCACAGTATATAAGTGTGAAGTGTACGTTTTAGAACTTAGTAATATAACGAGTGTTTGAGGGAAATTTGGCCCTTCTTGGTCATAATTTTAGTACAATATGTATTTATTTATTTACTTATTTATTTATTGCAGGATGCTATCCAAAATGTCCTGAGGATAAGCCAATTTTTGATGAGAAAAATCAGATCTGTGTGGAGGAATGCCCAGCGATAACAACACCAACATCTACCCCTATACCAACAACTACCACAAAGTCTACTACTACAATAGCACCAACACCAGAATCAACCACATCATCTACCACTGTACCAACAACTACCACGAAGCCTACTACAACAACACCAACACCAGAACCTACCATATCATCTAGCCCTATACCGACAACTACCACAAAGTCTACTACTACAACAACACCAACACCAAAATCAACCACATCATCTACCCCTATACCAACAACTACCCCATTTTCATCAACAACAGCTGAGACTACGTCACCATGTATTATATGTGAGTGGTCTGACTGGATTAATGTATATAATCCTGCAGTAGGGGGATATGACGACTTAGAGACTTATGGAAACATTGCAGGAAGTGGAATAAAGATCTGTGAACAGCCAGAACATATTGAATGTAGAGCTGTGGGCGCACCTCTCATGAGATTTGAAGATTATATTCAGTCAACAAATCAAGTTGCCCAATGCAATGTTTCATATGGATTGATGTGTAAAAAAAAAAACCAAACTCACCGCCCCTATAAATGTGTTGACTATGAAATACGAGTTTACTGTTGTTACATATGTACGTCACCACCATCACCAACAATAACAAAACCTACCCCATCATCTACCCCTACACCAACAACTACCACGATGCCTACTACAACAACAGGACCTACCCCATCATCTACACTTGCACCTACAACTACCATGAAGCCTACTACAACAACAGGACCTACCCCATCATCTACCCCTACACCAACAACTACCACGAAGCCTACTACAACAACAGCATCAACCACATCATCCACCCCTACACCGGCAACTACCACGAAGCCTACTACAACAACAGGACCTACCCCATCATCCGCCCCTACACCGACAACTTCCATGAAGCCTACTACAACAATAGGATCTACCGCATCATCTACCCCTACACCGACAACTACTACAAAGCTTACTACAACAACAGGATCTACCACATCATCTACTCCTGCACCGACAACTACCACGAAGCCTACTACAACAACAGAATCCAGCACATCATCTACCCCTACACCGGCAACTACCACAAAGCCTACTACAACAACAGAATCCAGCACATCATCTACCCCTACACCGGCAACTACCACAAAGCCTACTACAACAACAGAATCCAGCACATCATCTACCCCTACACCGGCAACTACCACAAAGCCTACTACAACAACAGAATCCAGCACATCATCTACCCCTACACCGGCAACTACCACAAAGCCTACTACAACAACAGAATCCAGCACATCATCTACCCCTACACCGGCAACTACCACAAAGCCTACTACAACAACAGAATCCAGCACATCATCTACCCCTACACCGGCAACTACCACAAAGCCTACTACAACAACAGAATCCAGCACATCATCTACCCCTACACCGGCAACTACCACAAAGCCTACTACAACAACAGAATCCAGCACATCATCTACCCCTACACCGGCAACTACCACAAAGCCTACTACAACAACAGAATCCAGCACATCATCTACCCCTACACCGGCAACTACCACAAAGCCTACTACAACAACAGAATCCAGCACATCATCTACCCCTACACCGGCAACTACCACAAAGCCTACTACAACAACAGAATCCAGCACATCATCTACCCCTACACCGGCAACTACCACAAAGCCTACTACAACAACAGAATCCAGCACATCATCTACCCCTACACCGGCAACTACCACAAAGCCTACTACAACAACAGAATCAACCACATCACCTACTTCTATACCAACAACTACCATGAAACCTACTACTACAACAACAGCAACAACACCAAAATCTACCACATCATCTACCCCTACACCAACAACTACCACAAAGCCTTCTACAACAAAATCAACAACATCACCTACCCCTATACCAACAACTACCACAAAGCCTACTACAACAACAGAATCCAGCACATCATCTACCCCTACACCGGCAACTACCACAAAGCCTACAACAACAGCATCAACCACATCATCCCCCCCATCACCGGCAACTACCACAAAGCCTACTACAACAACAGGACCTACCACGTCATCCACCCCCACACCGACAACTACCACAAAGCCTACTATGAAGCCTACTACAACAACAGGACCTACCCCATCATCTACCCCTGCACCGACAATTACCACAAAGCCTACTACAACAACAGGACCTACCCCATCATCTACTCCTGCACCGACAACTACCACGAAGCCTACTACAACAACAGAATCAACCACATCCCCTTCCCCTACACCAACTACCACAAAGCCTACTACAACAACAGAATCAACCACATCCCCTACCCCTACACCAACAACCATGAAGCCTACTAGTACAACAACAGTAACAACACCAGAACCTAGCACATTATCTACCCCTACACCAACAACTACCACAAAGCCTACTACAACAAAATCAACAACATCACCTACCCCTATACCAACAACTGCCACAAAGCCTACTACAACAACAGAATCCACCACATCATCTACCCCTACACCGGCAACTACCACAAAGCCTACTACAACCACAGGACCTATCACATCATCCACCCCCACACCGACAACTACCACAAAACCTACTATGAAGCCTACTACAACAACAGGATCAACCACATCATCCACCCATACACCGGCAACTACCACGAAGCCTACTACAACAACAGGATCTACCACATCATCTACCCCTACACCGACAACTACTACAAAGCTTACTACAACAACAGAATCAACCACATCCCCTAGCCCTACACCAACAGCCATGAAGCCTACTACTACAACAACAGCAACAACACCAGAATCTAGCACATCATCTACCCCTACACCAACAACTACCACAAAGCCTACTACAACAACAGAATCCACCACATCATCTACCCCTACTCCAAAAACTACCACAAAGCCTACAACAACAGCATCAACCACATCACCCATCCCTTCACCGGCAACTACCACAAAGCTTATTACAACAACAGGACCTACCACATCATCCACCCCCACACCAACAACTACCACGAAGCCTACTACGAAGCCTACTACAACAACAGCATCAACCACATCATCCCCCCCTACACCGACAACTACCACGAAGCCTACTACGAAGCCTACTACAACAGCAGGACCTACCCCATCATCCGCCCCTACGGCAACTACCATAAAGCCTACCACAACAACAGGACCTACCCCATCATCCGCCCCTACGGCAACTACCATAAAGCCTACCACAACAACAGGACCTACCCCATCATCCGCCCCTACGGCAACTACCATAAAGCCTACCACAACAACAGGACCTACCCCATCATCCGCCCCTACGGCAACTACCATAAAGCCTACCACAACAACAGGACCTACCCCATCATCCGCCCCTACGGCAACTACCATAAAGCCTACCACAACAACAGGACCTACCCCATCATCCGCCCCTACGGCAACTACCATAAAGCCTACCACAACAACAGGACCTACCCCATCATCCGCCCCTACGGCAACTACCATAAAGCCTACCACAACAACAGGACCTACCCCATCATCCGCCCCTACGGCAACTACCATAAAGCCTACCACAACAACAGGACCTACCACATCATCCACCCCTACACCGACAACTACCACGAAGCCTACTACGAAGCCTACTACAACAGTAGGACCTACCCCATCATCCGCCCCTACGGCAACTACCATAAAGCCTACCACAACAACAGGACCTACCCCATCATCTACCCCTGCACCAACAACTACCACAAAGCCTACTACGACGCCTACTACAACAACAGCATCAACCACATCATCCCCCCCTACACCGACAACTACCACGAAGCCTACTACACCAGTAGGACCTACCCCATCATCCGCCCCTACGGCAACTACCATAAAGCCTACCACAACAACAGGACCTACCCCATCATCCGCCCCTACGGCAACTACCATAAAGCCTACCACAACAACAGGACCTACCCCATCATCCGCCCCTACGGCAACTACCATAAAGCCTACCACAACAACAGGACCTACCCCATCATCCGCCCCTACGGCAACTACCATAAAGCCTACCACAACAACAGGACCTACCCCATCATCCGCCCCTACGGCAACTACCATAAAGCCTACCACAACAACAGGACCTACCCCATCATCCGCCCCTACGGCAACTACCATAAAGCCTACCACAACAACAGGACCTACCCCATCATCCGCCCCTACGGCAACTACCATAAAGCCTACCACAACAACAGGACCTACCCCATCATCCGCCCCTACGGCAACTACCATAAAGCCTACCACAACAACAGGACCTACCACATCATCCACCCCTTCACCGGCAACTACCACAAAGCCTATTACAACAACAGGACCTACCACATCATCCACCCCCACACCAACAACTACCACAAAGCCTACTACGAAGCCTACTACAACAACAGCATCAACCACATCATCCACCCCTACACCGACAACTACCACGAAGCCTACTACAACAGTAGGACCTACCCCATCATCCGCCCCTACAGCAACCACCATAAAGCCTACCACAACAACAGGACCTACCACATCATCTACCCCTGCACCGACAACTACCACAAAGCCTACTACAACAACAGAATCAACCACATCACCTACTTCTATACCAGCAACTACCATGAAACCTACTACTACAACAACAACAGCAACAACACCAAAATCTACCACATCATCTACTCCTATACCGACAACTACCACAAAGCCTACTACAACAAAATCAACCTCATCACCCACCCCTATACCATCAACTACCACAAAGCCTACTACAACAACAGAAGCAACCCCATCACCTTCCCCTATACCGACAACTACCACAAAGCCTACTACAACAACACCAACAACACCAGAACCTACCACATCATCTACCCCTACCCCTACAACTGCCACAAAGCCTACTACAACAACAGAAGCAACCCCATCACCTACCCCTATACCGACAACAACAACAAAGCCTACTACAACAAAATCAACAACATCACCTACCCCAATAACAACAACTACCACGAAACCTTCTACAACACCAACACCTACCACATCATCTTCCCCTACACCAACACTTACCACAAAGCCTACTACATCAACAACAGAATCAACCACATCACCTACTCCTACTCCTGCATCTACTCCTACACAAACTCCGCCGTACATCTGTCCTGAATGGAACAAAAACGTATAGTTTAATACTTTCTTTTAATTGACTAAATAAAGGCGTTGTCATTCTTTCTACATGGGGAATGTATTTTTATGACTATCTATGGTGACATTTAAATATTCTAATGAAATCAACATTGTAATTTTGCATTTATCAGTCTTTCTAATTCTGTCTCACTTTTCATTATCACTAGACCAACGAGACCTTCTTCTTGTGTAACTGCACTATGGCGAGGTGCATAAAAGACAACATCATTGAAATTATCCCATTTGAATGCCCTCCACTGCAGAACATCACCTGTGAAAATGGAAAAAAACCAGTGCTTGTCCATGATGAACACCACTGCTGCCAATATTATGCATGTGACTGTGAGTAAACTGGTCTTTGCAATCTTTACATTTAATTCTGTAATTATTTACTGACTGTAATCAACTGACAATGCCAGATTAAAGAACACAGATGCAGCCAGCTCATTTCCATAATGAGCAACACAATCTACAAAAGCATCAATAATTTAAAATAATGTGGCTTGGTAATCGATATTTTCAGATAACGTTGACATTCCACATAAATTAACACAAATGGAGAAAATGTTCTCACTTCTACCATGAGCTCTCTGTTCTCTCTGGTGCCTCCACCAAGCAGCAACTATCACAGCCATGTCAAGTGCAAGATTGGTTAAGGCATGCTTTTTTGGGCATTAAATAATGGCACAAATACCAGTAAATTGACTACCTCAAACCTTATTATGGTGGCATTCACACTGGCCTCGTTTGCTGTGGTTCGAACCTGAGTGCGATAGTTCCGGCACCCCCCGCAGCGTTGGTCTGGTTTCACACTCTCTTAATTCTATCGAACCCCAGTGCATTTACGGTCATCTTACGTCATCACAAACGTGCACAACGTATGATAGATAACAGTACGTAGGTCAATATATTGTTTTTTAAATTCATTTGTTGCTATTATACACAGCAGAGTAAACGACATAGGGGTTTACTGTATGTGCGAATTACCATTCATTTACCATTCATTACACTGCAGGCTCACTCTCGCTCGAATCCAAGGTAAATCAGCAAAACTATCATCACTTATATGTGTTTTATTGAAGAAAATACATTGTAATCAGCTAAAACCCGAGTCTGTGTTGCTTTTATATTCATGCTAACTGCACCACAGTTCGAGCGCAATCGAACTCAGACCACCTCCTTCAGGTAGTCTCGGGTTCAGTACCCCGGTGCGCACCCGCATTCGCATAACAGCTTTCACACTAGCCAAACGTACCGAATTCTGACGTCAATTGAACCCGGGTGCGCACCAAGCGTGCTAGTGTGAAAGTGCCCTGAAAGTGCCCTACAGGCCCGGATTGGCTAATCGGGAGCACCGGGAAAATTCCCGGTAGGCCGGTCTGTTTTTTGGCCGCGAGGGCCGGTCATGCCACTGCTATGGGGTTGTGAAATATGGATGCCCGTATTTAAGGTATCAAAGAAGCGTCTCATATGAAAGCTATAACTCAGTGTGTCCCGTATTCGCAGGCATACGCCATATGACCACCAGACCATATGAATAACAAATTCTCAATTGATAATTAATCATTATTTTTGCGCAAAATATTCTTTTATATGTGAACGTAGCTGTTTGATGAAGGCTTTAAGACCTAGTGGAATCCTTTGCCGGCTGCTCCTGTTTCACAGCGAGCAGGACTCACGCTTACGTCCACGATTTGATTTTGGCAAATCAGTTTGGGCGAATGCAATTTATCGATCATGAGCCCAAAATTTAGCAAGGCAGGAAAACATTTAAACTACCTGAGGGGAGATGTCTTTCACTATTGTAAGTTAAGGCTGTTAAATAGAGGGCAAAATAAATGTAACATTTTTTAACTTCTAGCGCATTCTTAAACTTGGACCTCATTTTATTAAAGTAGAAATCCAATCACCAGAAGCAGCCCACACTCAGCCCACAAGTTTTCTTTAATTTAAAAATATGCATTTTCATTCATTCATGGTTGCAATGATAGCCGTTTTAGTTTTTAAAAAATTAAGTGCATAGACGTTTCATAGACGTTCAGTTGTTATGCTTTCAAATTTCTTGCCATTTGTATGTATGTAATTTCACAGTATTTTCACCTCCTAAATTACTACACTACTTGTGTAGTCACGATTTTATAATGGTACAATTTACTCAGGCTGATGACTTTTTTTTTGTATGACATTAAAATTATTTTTAGAATATAGGTTAAGCAAGACAAATGTGATTATTTCTGAGAACTTTTTTACTGCAGGCAGACATTATGGTACAGTAGGCCTACAAATATTTTGTTGGAGATATGTGAGCAAAAAATAATAGATTAAAAAATGTATAATAGAAAGCGCAAAGGCGGCGCTGAAAAGGTCAGTTAAAAAAAAAAAAAAGCTGTAGAAAAATATAATGAATTACAAGACTGTAGAGAACAGTGCGCTATTGCAGACTTACTGTATATACTGAAGTTTTAATTACATTATTGTAATAGCTATAGTCAATCGTGAACTAAAGTGGGCCGCTCTAAGGCATGAAACTCCAGGGCTGAAAATGACTCCCACTCTGGCCCTGGTGCCCTAAATCACGCATGATTCATTGAAATATTCTTCTCCCTTAAATTTCGCATCTGAAACTTCTACAAATGCAATAAGTGATCTTATGCAATAAGATCAGCCACAAAAATTACTGTCCACACCTTTCATTGCTTATTTTTCACTGCATTTTTTTTTATGCAAAAAGGTTTGCGCTGGCACAAGCTGTTAGTAAATCTGGCCCTTAGTGTTTGCTAAATTCAAGTAGCTTGTTCAGTTCAAATTATTGAATGCTGTTTTTTGGAGATATGTGAGCAAAAAATAATAGATTAAAAAATGTATAATAGAAAGCGCAAAGGCGGCGCTGAAAAGGTCAGTTAAAAAAAAAAAAAAGCTGTAGAAAAATATAATGAATTACAAGTCTGCAGAGAACAGTGCGCTATTGCAGACTTATATACTGAAGTTTTAATTACATTATTGTAATAACTATAGTCAGTCGTGAACTAAAGTGGGCCGCTCTAAGGCATGAAACTCCAGGGCTGAAAATGACTCCCACTCTGGCCCTGGTGCCCTAAATCACGCATGATTCATTGAAATATTCTTCTCCCTTAAATTTCGCATCTGAAACTTCTACAAATGCAATAAGTGATCTTATGCAATAAGATCAGCCACAAAAATTACTGTCCACACCTTTCATTGCTTATTTTTCACTGCATTTTTTTTTATGCAAAAAGGTTTGCGCTGGCACAAGCTGTTAGTAAATCTGGCCCTTAGTGTTTGCTAAATTCAAGTAGCTTGTTCAGTTCAAATTATTGAATGCTGTTTTTGTCTTATTTTTCACACTATCCTATTCTAGGCTTTTGTGAAGGCTGGGGGGACCCGCATTATGTCACATTTGATGGACAATTCTACAGTTATCAAGGAAACTGCACTTATATATTAATGAAGGAAATTAGGCCTCGATACCATTTGGAGATCTACATCGACAGTGTCTACTGTGACCCTGTTGAGCATGTATCCTGTCCCAGATCTATTATTGTGTCTTACAACAAACTAGTCATAAATCTTACGAATAGCAATCTCATAGGAGGTGCAGACCTAGAGGTGAGACTTTCTAGATTTGGAATGAATAACATGCTTTGTCTGCATTACCAAGTATCCTAACATTTTCTTGTCATTGTCTCCTGTCATAACAGGCTTTTGAGAACAATGTAAAGTTACGGCTGCCATATGCTCATAATAATGTGAGAGTTATAAGCTCAGGCCTAGACTTGATCCTGAGTATTCCACAGCTGGGTGTTCATTTAACATTTGGAGCTACTGGCTTTGGCATCAATTTGCCATTTCAGCATTTTGGAAACAACACACAAGGTCATTGTGGTAAGTCAGCCAGTCAGCTGCGCAACGTACATCATCTCTAGCTGAAGCATTAACCTAATAAACTGACAAAAATACAGTCCACCCGATGTTCTTACAGACATTCATTCACTTAAACGTATTTATACCTTGCAAACAACATTGGTAAAAAAAACTAATTATGTGATTACATATGTTTTAAAGTTGACCTAACAATTTAACGTACTCGTACGGCTTTTCGTCTTCACGAGTCTCCCCACCGGTCTACCAGCACGCTGCAGGAGGAAAATACTAGTTAGCACAGCTTTACTGGGAAAGTGAGCAAGTAACATTAAAATAATTCATACAAGACAATGAAGCAAGTGTATACATGTGTTTTAACGTATCCTAGCTGCTGTGGCCGGGAGGAAAAGGTCGGTTAATAGAGTTTGACTTGGAAACTGAGCGATATGAGATATGCTTACGGAAAATTAAACGTAGCTTCATATCTTGCAAATAACATCAAAATAAACACATAAAGCTAAAAGTCAAAAAATGAAAATGAACCGGTAAAAAAACAAATTATGTGATTACATATGTTTTAAAGTTGACCTAACAATTTAACGTACTCGTACGGCTTTTCGTCTTCACGAGTCTCCCCACCGGTCTACCAGCACGCTGCAGGAGGAAAATACTAGTTAGCACAGCTTTACTGGGAAAGTGAGCAAGTAACATTAAAATAATTCATACAAGACAATGAAGCAAGTGTATACATGTGTTTTAACGTATCCTAGCTGCTGTGGCCGGGAGGAAAAGGTCGGTTAATAGAGTTTGACTTGGAAACTGAGCGATATGAGATATGCTTACGGAAAATTAAACGTAGCTTCATATCTTGCAAATAACATCAAAATAAACACATAAAGCTAAAAGTCAAAAAATGAAAATGAACCTACTGTACTCTCGTGGTTTTCTTCTTCACGATGAGTTTATCACAGAGCCGTTGCCGAGGAGGTGTGTGGTTGTTTTTCGCGGTCATTTACTACTGTATTTAGATTTACAGTAGGCGAACATTTTACACAGTGTATACAGTAAGACACCCAAGAAAACAGTAATAATACTGTGGAAACAAAAATTATTTACTGTGTGCTGTTTAGCTCTGACTACTAGTATGCTCCCTGACAATCCAATCAAAGGACGTGAAAATCCTGATGTTATTGTACACCTGCTAGATGGCCCCGGTGTTGCCAAGTCGAAATCTGATTGGTTAAAGCAAGTTTCCTTGCCTTTTATTTTAAATTACAGACACCAGCACTGTTGATTCTGAAGGCCTTAAGGCAGATTTCTTTGACCCTGGCAACACATGATTGCTGAAATATGATTGAACAAAAGCTCTAATATAAAAATACACAACTGGAAGCAGCGCAACCAAGAGAAACGCTATGAAATAAAGAGAACAGACTATTAGAAAAAAGTAAATACACATTTATTGGAAAGGTATATTAAAACTAAGTCAGTGATTCTGATAGTGTTTAGGCCAGCAGAGAAGGCTTTGCTGGCCCTGACAGCCCACCACTGGTGGATGGTATACGAGGGATTTTTTTTATTCATTGTCCATCTAAATTATTCCAAATAATTCTCACTAAGGAACATGCAACAACAACAAGGCTGATGACTGCATGATCCCTGGAGGGACCTTGGTGGACGACTGTGCAGTGATGGCGGATTACTGGCCAGCCATTGGGGCGAATGATGAAATTTGCACTCCACCAACTGCATTACCTTCCATCTGGGATAATAAAAAACTTACATCTAAGCCTTGCCAGGCTCATCCTGACTGCAACCTCCTTGATAGCGAGTGAGTGGATTCAGTGTTATGTTTTTATTATAAATTTTAATATATGGAGCTTGCGAAGTGATATTTACTACTTCTGCCTTTCTCAGGTTGTTCAAAGCGTGCCATTCCCATATATCCCCCAAAAACTTCTTTTTAGCATGTGAATATGACAGTTGTCACATGAGTAACCCTGCTGTGGTGTGTACCAGTCTTCAGACATACGCAAGGGCTTGCTCTCAATTAGGGATCTGCATACACTGGAGGAACTACACTTACCTTTGCAGTAAGTTGCATTTTATTAATTTTATATCACTCTTTCTTTAGGTTTCTCCAAATTGCTTAACTTTCTGTTGTACCTTTCTGGCTTTAAATTCCTTTTTTATGTGAGATTTTTGATCTCCCAGACTTTTGGAAGCTATTGAGATTATTTAAGTGTTGTATTTTGTCTTTTCTTCCACCAGATATTGAATGTCCAGCAGATAAAGTTTTCAATCCTTGTGGTCCAGCTGAGCCAGCAACCTGTGCTGATATGTATGCCCATTTATCCAAATTTTTAAATAATTAAGACATTTGTGGATATGAAAGTTTACTGTTTTAGTATTGTAAATTGAGGGATTGCAATATGACAGACATGTACTTGGAAAAAAAAACACTCTTATTATGCAGTTTAAGAGTTAATAAAACGTGTTATGCAGATGTTTATTGGAATGAATCTTAGATGATATGTGTGTAATAATAAAAAAAGTTTAAATACTTTTTTAATTGCAGACCTGAACAGAACACCATTACAATGCCGACAGAGGGCTGCTTCTGTCCTGAGGGCACATTACTCTTCAACAAGAAGATGGGCGTTTGTGTGAACAAATGTGGTGAGAAGCCTTTGACTCAAGTTTCTGTGCATGCATAAGGCATTCAGATTGAGAAGTTAAAAAAGTGTGCCTTTCTGCATCATCCTGCATACCTTAGCTGTTTTTCAAGAACATATCGGTCTTATGTTGTTCTTCTCTTTTTGTTTTTAGGATGCCTGGATGCCTCTAGAACACCACGAGAGGTACGGCGGGGTTTAACAGTTTTAATTTAGCGGTTTACACAATACTAGAATTTAATTTCATAGTTCTTAAACTTAAAGGCCATTCAGCAATAGACTGTGGCAAGCTCACTTACAAAAAACATCCAAGATGGCAGATGACATGAGAAAAATGTGAATAAATAGAATTCATCCTCATAAATCATTCAGTACCAAAATGTATCAATAAAATAGTTAGCACACACGAATATTGGCATAAAAATACTATGCATTTTTATGCTTACCAGAGTTCAATTTTGGATTAGCAACATACTTAAGCCTAGCTCATATAAATTCATATGTGACCCTGGACCACAAAACCAGTCTTAAGTTGCACAGGTATATTTGTAGCAATAGCCAAAAATATTTTGTGTGGGTCAAAATTATCGATTTTTCTTTTATGCAAAAAATCATTAGGATATTAAGTAAAGATCATGTTCCATGAAGATGTTTTGTCAATTTCCTACCATAAATATATTAAAACTTAATTTTGGATTAGTAATATGCATTGCTAAGAACTTCATTAGGACAACTTTAAAGGCGATTTTCTCAATATTTCGATTTTTTTTGCACCCTCAGATTCCAGATTTTCAAATAGTTGTATCTCGGCCAAATATTGTCCTATCCTAACAAACCATACATCAATGGAAAACGTATTTATTCACCTTTCAGATGATGTACAAATCTCAATTTTGAAAAATTGACACTTATGACTGGTTTTGTGGTCCACGGTCACATATGAGTAGTGCTATTTATATTTACTTACAAGGTAAAAAAAAAGAAAAGAAACTGCATACATGGATTAATTCTTCACACTATAACCTGTAGCATGAATTTACAAAATCAATAGAGTGAATTTTCATTATATGCTGAATTTAAAGAATTAACTGAATAATGCTAAATAATGGCCAAAGCTAAATAATGACCGAAATAGACTTTTAACTAAATTCTCTTGATATTTTGCGGCAGTTCGCTGAAGTTTTCGAGTACAACTGTGAGGAGTGTATCTGTGATAAGGCCAGCAAATCAGTGACCTGTAAGCCCAAAACATGTCCCGATGTCAACCCTGAGATCTGCACTGAGCCCGGCTTTGTGCTTGTCAACGTCACCAATCCTTCAGACCCATGCTGCAGTAAACAAGTTTGCAGTAAGTTTATGTACAGTTTTTTTCAAGAGGTTTTTTGGGGGGTAGGTTCACATCTTCCTTTTATTAAGTCTCCTTTGTGTGATGTAGACTGTGATATCAGCATGTGCCCACCTATGGATAAAAAGTGTGCAGTCGGATATACGCCAGTCCTGGAAGTGCCTGATGGAAAATGCTGTCCAGAAATCAAATGCGGTATTGCCCTAATTCACACATCAGTTCATTTTTGTGAAATTTGTATGCTTATTTTATTTATTTTTTTATTTTTTTTATCTCAGATGATGTCTGTATCCCTTTAATATCATTCAGTATAGTTTTGTGTTTTGTTGTTTGCCTCCTCAGAGCCAAAGAAAGTGTGCGTTCACAAAAATATGGAATATAAGGTAACTAGAATGACTCGAATATGACTATTTTTTTAAAAATCTAACATTTCTGAGGTTTTTATTTTAAGTACAAATTAATGAATGTTTTACATGCTCATCTCTCCCATCACTTCCCCCAGCCTGGTACCAACATCCCCGTCGTTGACTGTCGGGAATGCAGCTGTACGTGGGACGTGGATCCTAAAACACAGTTGTTCAATATCAAATGTGGATCTGTGCAGTGCAATGAGAAATGTGATCCTGTAAGTTGCGTGACAAGCTTCTGATCAGCTTGTCTCAGGACTGAGTGTAATTTCGTTGACTTCATTTGATGTTTATTTTTCACAGGGTTATGAATATATTAAAACGACCTTTGACGACTGCTGTGGAAAGTGTGTGCAAACTCACTGCATCGTCAATAACAATGGCGTCCATAAAATACTAAAGGTAAAGTCAGATGTCAAAGGTTCAGTCGCCTTGAGGTATGGAATATATTTAGGTTAAATGGAACTTAAAGGAATAAATGTTCAAAATGTAAATTAATTATAAATGTAAAAAAAATGCACTCTACACCCTCATATGTTAAAACCAATATTGTTTTCTTTCTTTGAACACAAAATGAAACAGTTCATGTTGCTTTTTTCATACAACAGAAGTGGATTGTCATCATCAGGGACAGAAAAGCATTATTAAAGTACTAGTACTGCAGTAACGTGTTTTAAATTTGAGTGAGGAACAGACCCAAATTTAAGCCATTATTCCTTGACAATCTCATTCCTCCTAACAAATCTAACATTTTTGCAATGAATTTGACCTTGTTTTCTTTTGGTTCATAGGAAGGAAAGACTTTGCACACTGCAAATCAGGGCTGTGATAGAATCACGTGTATTAAAGTCAATGGACAGTTCATCACCGACAAATACACAGTCCAGTGCCCTCCTTTCAACATTTCCAACTGCCAACCTGTCAGTACCTCAAATATCACACAAACACACATTTACATGTTATACTGACTGATCATGGTGATTAACAGTGGTGGACGAAGTACACAAATCAAGTACTTGAGTAAAAGTACAGATACGTATAATAAAATATTGCTCCAGTAAAAGTACTCCTTTTTCAATTTTACTCGAGTGAAAGTACAAAAGTACTCGATTTTTTATGTACTTAAGTAAAAAAGTACTGATAGATAGATTTATTTTGCAATTTTATATAGGCTACTTAATTTAATTTTATATTAGCACATATTTTTTATAATCCTACTGATTATGATTCATATCTGTCTACTCGGCTAGTTACTCCAAACAATATAAAAATGTATACTGTTGATAAACAATATAAAAACAGACGTCACATAGGGCTAAATGCGTAGCATTTTAATAAAACTGTTAACGTTACGACAGCGGGGAATATGAACGTGCATGAGTTATTTTATTTAGCCTGTGTTATTTTTGTCACGTGTTGGTTTCTGTTTAGTTCCTGTCTGTCATTATTTGGTTGTTTCCTGCTCATTTAGTTAACCATCATTCATTAGTTTCCACCTGTGTTGTATTAATCATCTCGTTTGTTCCTTAGTTGCCTGCCCTTCATAAGCCCTCAGTTTCTGTCAATTTCTTTGTCTTGGATTAATGTTACATTTGAATGGTTTATGTGGTTGATACAGATTAAAAAGACTCCTTTACTCCCATGATGCGAAGGCAGCCATAGTGTGCCAGAACGCCCACTACACACCAGCTTATTGGTGGAAAAGTTACTCAAAATAAAACGACTCCAGTAAAGTACTTGAAAAATGTACTTAAGTACAGTAACGAAGTAAAGCTACTCCGTTACTGTCCCCTACTTTGTGATTAAATCACATCAATGACATTCTGCCTTTGTGATTCGCTCTACAGGGCACCGTTCAGCGGTCACCTGATGGCTGCTGCCATGTTTGTGAGTATTTTTTATTTTTTAAAGAAAACAATGTGAATTTTGGTTGATTTGAAGCGATTATTAATGTGTCTATGTGGCTTGTGTTTGAAGGTGTGGACCAAATTAAAGGATGTCAAGTACAGACCATTCGTGATTACATAAATCACAATGACTGTCAGTCAGAGAAGAGAATGGACCTTACATTTTGTAGTGGAGACTGTACCAGTTTTAGCAGGTGAGTACGTGCAGACTCTGTTACGAAAACCTACATAAGCCGCATCCTAAATGAAATAGACCCTCTTAAGTGACTGATTTGAAATGTTTTACATGTGTTTTTCTCTCTTTCTCACATACGTAGGTACACTGAACCTGGATTGACCTCTTGTAGCTGTTGCCAGGCCACTCGCTCAAGTAATCGCACAGTGAATCTTGGTTGCGTAAACGGAGACATAGTAACTCACACATACATCCATGTGGAGGAGTGTGCCTGCAGCAAAACTAACTGTCATAAAGCAGGAGTGGGCCACACACTCGCTGAAGACAGCCAAAGAAAACGTAGCTTCGGACGTCCGTGAGCAGCAGCAGTGAATCATCCACTCGAAGACTCTGAAATACGAATTCTTTGAGAAACTTTGTTTGGAAATTAATTTAAATTGCACATGCTTTAACATTTCTTTAACTTTATCTATAGAGCTTTTCTTTTTTCTTCGTTGGATAAATATGTACTGTTGTGCTTGCTTGAAATTAAAAGCATTTAAAAAGGCATTTGAGGCACTCAATCACGTTTATTGAGTCGTTCAGCGAGAAACTTTTTATAGTTTGTTTGTATGTGGTGTTTATGTATTTATTTATATCTAGCATTTGGTCATGTTCCTGGCGCCATGATCTACTGTTTGGGTTAGAGAAATACTTTTAAAAAAATGACCAAATATGAAATTGTATGATGCAATTGAGTTGCTTTGAAATGTTAAGATCATCAAAGCACATACATTTTTAAGTGCACAAATCACCTTGCTGAAATGATCTACTGCTCCTGTTTTTGGATTTTATAGTAGTGTTTGTTTAGGGACAGTTTCGGGACAGTTAGTGAATGACATGCATTTAATGAAATGCATTTAATGTAGTAATTATCGTGGCCATGTGATAGTAAGATAGTTCTTTGAAAGTACCAGACATCTCTTAAAGGGATAGTTCACACAAAAATGAAAATTCTGTCATTACTCACCCTCATGTCGTTCTAAACCCGTAAGACCTCCGTTCATCTTCGGAACACAAATTAAGATATTTTCGATGAATTCTGAGACCTCTCTGACCCTCCTATAGACAGCAATGTATTTACCACGATCAAGGTCCAGAAACGTAGCAAGGAGATCGGTAAAATTATCCATGTGACTTTAGGGGTTCAACCGTAATTTTACGAAGCTACGAGAATACTTTTTGTACACAAAGAAAACAAAAATAACAACTTTATTCAACAATTCGTCTTCTCCGCGTCACCCTGGTGACATTTTGGAGAATATCCACTGAACGTAAACAGCGTATGCTATTTAATGATTTAATAATATAAATGATTTTACAAAAATCGATCTTGTAATCACAAACGTCTGTGATTGGTGTACCCTTGCAAGCGCTGAGAAAAGTTACATGTGCCAACCCAGGACCAGGTATGGCTAAAAGTTATATCACAATAATCACCCTGAATAATTAACTAAAATAATAATAGGAATAATAAATAGTCAGTGAATAGTAAAAAAATAAATAAAAATAAAATAAAAAGGACTGGCTCCAAACCCCGCCCATACGGGCCAATCAAATGTACAGAAGCGACATGACGTAATAGGAAGCGTTTCATGGACTCACTGGCGGGAGTTTCGGTTGTTTTTAAACAAGCTAACGGGTTACCAACTGCAAAAGGCGAGACATTAAGCAATAGTGCTTCTGAAAAGGAACATTTATAAACAAACCCTACATAAAATTCACTAAACAGGCAAGTGTTTGGCACTGTAAAGTAAGAGTACACACTTAACGCTTTCATATTTCAATATGACAATGTCTAACGTCTGATAGTTGTTTATGCTAGTGTCCTGGTTTGACTGTTTCAGTATAAATAAATATTAGTACATTTTAATACTTTAACAAGTTATATATTTTAATATTTCACATTTAGTAATTACGTAAATAATGAACATGTATGCATACATAATAAGGTGCATGTGCTGCTTCATAAATAACTTTTCTTTGAGTCATTCTTTTCACATTATAAATGGTTATTTATTAGTATTTGTATATTGGTTATAATACCCCCGAGCTGTCAAATAGCAATAGTAAGCAGACTATGAATTACATTTCTGTCATTCCCCATTTAAACACCCCATTTTGTTCTAAACCTGGAACACAAAAAAGACAATTCTGAATAAATGTTTGCAGAAATACAGTGACATTTACTGTGAAATACAGTGACAAATATAGTGACCTTTACTGTCAGCTCCAAAAAAGGGCAAAAAGCACTATAAAGCAGAAATGACAGATTCTCATTTTAGGATGTTGTGAGATCCTTTGAAATGATGTTGTGCTAATGATGATGTACATTCACAGGTCTGTGTACATAGATGCCTAATATGAAGGTTACAGTGGATACGATCCTATCATTATCAGAAAGTGATGGTGTAGATGAGCTTCAAAAGCATCTCACTTTGCTGTCTGATGATCAGGTTTGTGTTTAGTGTGTTTACTGATATGTAATGAGGCTGCAGTTGATTCAAATAGTCTCATCATGTAATGTACAAGGCAGCATCTTTAAATTATATGCAGATCACTTTCAGATGTGCTTTTTGTGTTTTTCTAAAGCTCACAACCATGCTTACCAATAGTGCTGTGAAAGGGAAGGACGCAGGTGTCCTGATCAAAGCCATTTTTAAAGGTAACACTGTATTAATTCTATTCAATTTGTACTATTACATTTTTTTTTTATTTAGACTTTTAAGATTTTAAAAATCTTTAGTAACTCTGTGCTGCTTCATCAAGTAGAGCTGAATATCAAACTGTGTTTTTGTGTTTGTGATGTTAGGTTCACCGGTAAGTGTTTCGCATGGCGCTAACCGTAGACTGCTTGTGTACAAGCACTGTATTCCACTGTGTGAATCTGGAGACTTACAGACGGAAGTGACGTCAGATATCATTGGGCTTCTGATGTTAGAGGTGAGTGAGTTACCATACCGTACACAAATTAATAGCAATGCACTGATTAATATAGGGGGAAGTCGTGGCCTAATGGTTAGGGCGTCGGACTCGTAGGGATTGTAGGTGGGGGAGTGAATGTACACTCTCTCCCACCTTCAATACCACGACTGAGGTGCCCTTGAGCAAGGCACCGAACCCACAAGTGCTCCCCGGGCGCCGCAGCATAAATGGCTGCCCACTGCTCCGGGTGTGTGTTCACAGTGTGTGTGTGTGTGTGTGTGTGTGTGTTCACTGCTGTGTGTGTGCACTATTAAAGATCTTGGCTGGTAACCAGTAGGTTGAAGTTTCAAATCCCACATGGGGTGATCTGGAGGACTGAACCTGTTTTCTAAATTATTACTGTTATTATTTGTAGATAATGAATCTTTGATGGTTCAAGTCCAAAAACCTAATTTGAAGGGGGATGAACTTGGTATTAAAAGTGTAATATGGTAATATGGTTTTCTTCTGTTCCATAGACGCACAGTCTACCTGGTCATGCATTAGCCACGTTAGCGTCTCTATATGTGGATGCCATCAAATTGGGTGAGATGAATAGTGGGAGATCCCTGGAACTTTTCCCTACAATTCTAACAGCTCTTGCCGCTACAGAAGCATTGGCTTATGGGAAAGGTAAGTTGCTATTTGTTAAGTCCAAACTGGAGGAAATAGCTCTGTAGAGTAAAACAGCAAAAATGATATCTGTTCAAAAAGTGATGCTAATTGAGTAAATATGGGTTAAAGACATTTGGCGTAGAGATAAGAAACCTGTAACTTTTTTAAAAGTCTTTGACTTGAATTTTCCAAATCAGCATGTTTGAATGATTTCTGATTTCTTGTGACATTGAAGACTGGTTTGTTTGCTTATTGGTTTTTATTTTGTGTTATTATATAATATTGTATATACAAGTTTACTTTTTTACTTAGGTGAGCTGAGTGGAGATGAATACAAGAAACAGCTGATCAACAGTCTTTGCTCTAGCAGGTAAAATCTAAATTTTAAGTGCTTAAATAATGGTTTTCAATAACGTAATCCATAAAGACATAAGAATCATGAAATGTGACATTCTCTCCAAGTAATACCAGTTCAGAACACAAAAGGCAGTCAGTGTTCTGCCTTGAACTAACATATATCCAATTCATGCAGATGGGATCCACAGTGTGTAATACACCTAACGACCATGTTCAGGTATGACATATTTACTGGCTAGTTATCTACTTTATGTCTTGAATATGAAGAAACTGTATATTTTGTGTTAGGGATGTTCCGTTATCTGCTGAGGAGCTTCAGTTTTTGATTGAGAAGATTTTACGGATGTTCCTTAAGTTGGATCTTCAGGAGATTCCACCTCTGGTCTATCAGCTGCTGCTGCTGACTGCCAAGGTCAGTTTATAGCACAATTGTTTAAAAGAACTTTAAAAGTACACAGTGTCTCTATATGGTCAGATTCTTTTTTTCCCCTTTCTTTTAATCAACAGGGCTGTAAGAAGTTGGTTCTAGAGGGAATCATCAGTTACTTCAAGAAGCAAGATCAACTTCAGAAAGAGGAGCAGAGAAATGGAGAGTGAGTAGGACATTTGCTCAAATGGTTTTATTTAATCTGACAGATTTGTTTTTCATTTGACTTAGTGTGTAAAATAAAGACTCTTATTTTTTTATGTATGTATTTGTGTTAGGAGTGAAGATGTGGAGGTGCAGACCATCCTACAGGATCAGCTGCGTCATGTAGAGGGAACAGTCATCCTCCACATCGTCTTTGCTATTCGTCTTGACCATGAGCTCGGCAGGGAATTTTTTAAAAACCTTAAGGTGAATGTCTGTCTGTTTCACGTATATTTATACCCATATAATCTTTTCTTTGAATATCTGTGTGCTAGCTGATTGTCTTCCTTTGTAGGCGGCCCAAAGTGATCCGTTGTGTCCCTTCAGTATTGCTCTGCTGCTCTCTGTGGCTCGCATACAACGGTTTGAAGAGCAGGTACGTCTCCGTTTCATTATTCCTCTTAAAACCTAGTGAGCTGTCTATATGAATCATGAGTGCATTTGAACATTCAGTGTCTCAAAATTCTTCAAAATGTGCCGTGATTGCTTAAATTTCTTTTACGGTCTAAAACCTTTGTGCCACTCTTTAAATTACCCACGATTGTTTAGGTATTTGAGTTCCTGAAGGGCGCCATCACTAAGAACTTCAAGGATGATCAGATTCAGCACAGTTCTAAGTTTCTGCAGGAACTGCTGCCTCAGTTTAACAGCATCTCCAATATGATTTTAGACACCGTCAAAAACAGGTCTAGTTAAACTGCAGTGCTTTTTGGTTCCTTCATTTATTCACATTTACATTTAGTAAAAAAAAATTACATTTAAATTTATTGTGTAGATTTGTTCAATGTGTTATATGTTTATATGTTTGCAGTGTGTTTGGCTGGGATCATGTCACTCAAGGTCTGGTGCAACTGGGGTTTATACTTATGGACTCATTTGGGCCTAAAGCTGGAGCATTTGGGAAGGTCACAGAAGGAGCGTCAAGCACGGCTAAAA